AGTTCCTTAACCACTGGATTGACATCCGTGCTGTTTACCGGGTAGGAAAGACACTCCCCTTCCAGTTTGCACTCTGCTGCTTGTAGCTCCCCTGTGTCATGTCCTGTTTGCACTCTGCTGCCTCCCCTGCCATGTCCAGTTTGCACTCTGCTGCTACCCATGTTATGTCCTGTCTGTGCATGTGATTTCGGCATGCCAGCAATTGTTTGATTTTGATGAAGGTAACCTCAGTACATGTATCTCCCCCCCCCCCCCTCCCTCCCCGCACACACAAGCACAATCAACTTTGCGTATAACGACACTCGGCGGAGCATCAGAAAATGTCGTTATTCGCGAAGTGTCCTTACCCGAAGTCTCATTATATGTATTACAGTTCGATGGGACTTTGCTGTGGGTATGGAAATTCTGTCGCTAATCGCGAATTTTCGTTAAATCCACACTGGCACAGGCGTTATTAGCGAAGTTGACTGTACATGCACACACACACACACACATACACACACACACACACACACACACACACACACACACACACATACACAAACACACACACACACACTCTCTCTCTCTCTCTCATCTTTTTTTCCTCTTCCTTTCCCTCTGACTTTCTTCCTTCTTGCTGTGTCTAAGTAGAGTTTCTACAACCGCAAGCCGAAGGGCTTGGCAGGTGCGTTGTCTGAGTTACGTATGACGTTTGACGGCCGTGAGCACTGTGGACTGGACGATGCACGGAACACCGCTCTGCTATGTTACCGCATGGCTCAGGATGGTCACCGGTGGAAGATCACAAAATCTCTCGAATCAGTAAGTCCTTTGTTTTGTTTATTTTGTTGGCTTGTTTTATTTGAATTCGCAGGACCAAACGAGCAACGATTCTCAATAACACAGTAGCGAATTAGGAGGGGAAGTGAGAAGAATGGGTGGTGAGAGGAAGATAAAAGAAAGGAAGAGAAGGATGAGTTGAACTCGGATGGTGAGCCAATTAAATTATGGTGAAAAAGGAGAAGGACAAAATGTTACGAGTTATGACTAACTGTCCACCAATGTAACCAGATCTTATACAGTCAGCGAGTGCGACAAAATGGCACAAAACTGACAAAGAGTACTGAGACATTCGGCGACCTGACACTTAGCTCCAAAAGAAGGATGAGTGCGAGGGAATAAGCAACAATTTCATTCATAGGATGTTCTCTCGTTTGGGTGCCAATGAAGAGTCTAGATACGAAACGCGACATCCATTTCAGCTCTTTTCGGATATTAGGCCAAGAATGGATTCACTTCGTGCACGATTTTCATCTAAATACCTAGTTGGGTACCATTTTCGAAGTGGTTCTGTTCGGATTTTTGAATGTGAAATTTTGCCTGAATGTGCCTCTAGACCTTTGTAGACCTTATGATTGCACTGAGCTCAAAGCATCAATTTCTCAAAGTTGACGCCTCCAAATGATTGTTGGTATCGTAATCTATGCAATGGATACCAAGAGAAGCGTGATGTAATTGTGAAGGTGATGATGTCACTACGAATGTTATGTTGCCTGATGATTGCAAGAGCATGAAACTTGAAGTCGCAGCAAACAAGCCTTGATTGTCCGTGTTGTTCTGTTCTGATGTCATCATGATATCATCAAGCAGTGAGTACTCTGCGTTGCCGTATGTTTCAGGCAGCACTATAGTGCCCATTAGACCTTGAGTCTAAGGCATTCTCTCGTTTGTCCCCATGCTGTAACATGCCTGACCGCACGCTGTCCTTCTCCCATGTGTCTCCCCGCTGCAGCCTCAGCAGATTGTGCGTCAGCCTGCAAAGCTGCCGTCTGAGCAGCATCTGAGCAGCACAGTAACAGCGAGTAACAGTAACACCAGCTGTGTCAACGGCAGTACCAGTGGCGATGACATTGGTAATGGTCGTCATGCTGAGCTGTCCGCCGCTTCACCTGTGCTGCCAGTCCGATCATCTCTACACTCCGCTGCTAGTTCCACAACAACTGCTAACCCTCCGCGTCCTCTTCATATTGCAAGTGAGCAACGCTGTTGTCAGCCGTCCAGTGCGGCACACACGCATACCACTACGATAAGTGCTGGATCAACTTCTCCTGGCAACGCACTTTCTGCTACATCGGCTGTGGCTGCATCTGCTATTGCTGCTGTTGGAATGCCAGGTCAGAACCTATCCACAACAACAACAGCATCATCACTACTACACAACGACAACCGCAGCGTGACCAATGCCTGTCTCAATCGCCCTCAACCTAAAGCACCCGCACAACCACCATCGTCGTCGTACACAACAGTATCAGCAGCAGCAGCATCAGTGACACCTCGGCGGACACAACACACTTCAGTGTATTCTTCTCGTCGACATATTGCCAGCAAGCCGACAGCAGCAGCAGCAGCAACTGGAGTGGCACCATCACCGACAACATCACCACCATCAGCAACATTGTCATGTGTAAGTTCACGAGCAACAACGTATTCACTCAGCAGCACTAGCAACACTGGAAACTCTACAATATCAGCTCCGGCGTCCTTCCTCAATCGACCTAAACCAGCAGCAGTTGCAGCAGCGAGTACTGACGTTGAACCAGGTAGGGCACAGCCAGCTGAGCTGCTCGGAACTGCTCAGAGTGAGCCACACGCATGCCCAGTGTCCGCTCGAGGCAGCAGTAACAGCGCAGCATATCCCGTTACGCAGCCCATACAGACGCAAGGATTGACAAATGTCGCATGTACCTACGCCACTCATCACGAGCAGAATGGCATGCGTGCGCAACCTAGAGAGAGCACAAACGAACGGAGTCGCATGTCCACACACACGACACGTGAACGTGCAGTTGCGAGTCGCTCTCTCAAGAAAAGCACAGCCCAAGACCAGGCGTCTGCGCAACAGTGCTCTACTGTACTGGGATCCGTTCGAACTAACGTTCAGCAACCTCACTCCCGGTCGAACTCGTCATGTACCACGCTGATGGCGCCACGCACTTTACTCGACTCTGGACCCAGTGGTATGATGACATCATCATCTAGTGATATGGCATCGTCTGCTAGTACGCCGGGCCACTCTAGGTCAGGCGTAGTCACTAGTCAAACACGTCGTCGCCTTGGAAACAGCACCATTCTGACACCGGCAAAGCGTGTATGTGTACGCGCTGCTGCGTCGTCGCACAGCCAGTCTGTTGCCTCGCTACCGCAGACTGGGTCTGTTCAGTACTCATCGCGTGAGCTGTCCGTGGGCCAGGGCCAACCGATGCAGTCACTGCCCCATGACCAGTCACCTAGGGCAACATCGCGTGACCTCGCACCCGGTCCGGGCACTGTGGCAACGGGGACTTCTGGTGGCGATGTTAGGAACGTGTCGACACCGGCAGGCGACGCCATACCGTGTGGCCAGTACGTGTCTGCTCCGTCTCTGCCGCCGCCCCAGAATACTGCTGACCCGGGAGCTGTGGGAGAATTGCCGGTCGTAGCTACTGTACGTGATTGTAGCACTGCATCTAGAGGCTGCACTGGCATAGCATCTAGCCATACTGAATCAGTGCATGAGACCACCACACACTGTACTGCACCTGTTGCTAGCACGAACAGTTCTTCGGCCCAGCTCAACGGCACAGGCATTAGTAGCAGCAGCGGCAGCAACGGCAGCGTAGGTAGCAGCATCATCAGCAGAACTCGCAGTAACCTAAGTAACGATTCCCGCTCGGCGCCAGCGCTCAATCTGAGCAATGGCAGCTCCCGTCTGTCTAGCGGATTGGCAGGTCCAGCGCCGCCAGCTGACAACTCTGCCGTGTCAGTCACAGCCATGTCCACTAACCAGCTAACATCACAACAACAACAACGACAACAACAGCAGCCAACAACATCCACACCAGTAGGCCGACGTCCGCTAGGTTTACCATCCTCAATCAACCTAAATCATTCGGCCATTCCAAAACGATCATCGTCAAGTAGTTTGTCTTCTGCCTCCTCCTCCACCTGTTCACCGCAGCTCTTCTCAAAGTCGTCCTTTTCGTCCGGTTCCAATCTCGGCGAGGCCGTCCTCGCACCCGAGCTGCCCCGGCCGATGTCCATAAACGGCGGTGGGATTACTCCGCCAATGTGTGCCTGCGGCAAGCGTGTCCGTCGCTGCGTGGCCTCTAACCCGGGCCCGAACCAGGGCCGCACGTTCTACACGTGCGCGGTGAAGAATCGCCGTAGCAACGGCGGCTCGCCAGCATCACTCGGGGCCAAGCAGCGTGGCTGCGCCTACTTCCAGTGGGAGAGCAAGAAGTTTGTGACGTCATGCAACTCTCTCGATGACATCACAAACTACTTCCCGCCAGCGCCATCATCATCCACAAGTTACAACGGGTCATCATCATCATCATCAACAACATGTAGATCTGCTAACAGTACTAAAGCATGCAGTACTCGTACAGGCAGTTACGACACCGGCGCATCCGATAGACCTAGTCATGGCGGCACAGCCTGTGCTACTAGTACGGCTGATAGCGCTGGTCAATTCTCCAACGTGAGTGATGACAGCGACTGTGTAGTACCCTACAGCTTACTACCAGCACTGTGAGGCACTGTGAATGACTGTGAGGCACTGTGAGCATCGAGTGGCTGATACCTCACATTTTACGTTGGTGACCAGCCTTATTAGTTGTGACTATTGAATACCCATTCCTCAATGTGTGTAGGCTCAACTGTAGCCACCTCATCTCTCACACAGTCATAATACGCCAATAACCAAGAACGGTCTCTCGGCCAGGCCTATCAAAACCTTTGGATTGAGCTTTATTTTTAGAATTGTAGGCGAGATACCGTTTTAAGTAGCAGTGTATTGGATAGCCGCATGCATGGGGACAAGACACTGTGCTGGCATCCGTACTAGCATTTTCTGGACAAAAACGGGCACTTCCAATCTCTCCCTGAGAACCCATGCAGGTATCTACCCCACACCATTTTAACTGTTCCCCTCTCCCCCCCCCCCCCCCCCCCACTGACAGTCTGTGTGAATGGGCTAGGCCTCGTTGCCGGCGGCGGTGTTGAGCACTCTTGTCTCTTCAATCAGCCAAGGACTCTGACCCTGTACTGCTTGTGCACGGGGTATCGTGTGGTAAACATTGCCATGCCGTTATGCAGATCTGAAAACAAACAAACATTGCCGTACACATCTCGTCCTGCTCCATACCGGATCAGAGAATCACGCAAGCGCACACGTCCCCCCCCCCACACATAATTAATTATGCACATTGCGGGAATTGTGTTCACCTGCAGCCAGGACCAGCTTTAACAGCACACATTGCGTCGGAACCAGAGAGTATCAATGCACAGCTCTCATACTACGGCCTGGTTCCGGCAACTGAACCGTCAATGTCAGACGTATTGACATTTCCATTCTGAACAATTGGTAGAAACTACAGTGCAGGCAACTGAAATCCGACCCCCTGAGCGGTGCGCTCACATCGCAAAGACCTGACACGGGATAGCAACACTACCAAATTGAGACCGCTAGAATGTGAACGCATCGCTAAGGGGGGTCGGATTTCAGTTGCCAGCCCTGTAGTACCCACACTTCGTCAGGGAATCAACTTCAATAGAACAATGGAAATACAATAAAACATCCATGAATACTACGTGTAGTAGATCTACGCTTTGTCTTGGACATATATTATAATATAATTATATAATATTGCACACAAATGCAAACACGCGCACGGCAGATCAGAGTGGGAAGAACACTACCGATCGCTATCCAGGCCTGGACGGTAGCTACGCCAGGAGAGACATCGGGGTGCGAAACCAGAACGTTACAATGTGAAATTACACGCAAGTAAATAGGTCAAATGAACCTAAATGAGAACACACTTGCACACGTACTAGTCCTTGAAGAATTATAGTGTTACAATAGTAATGCTAGAAACGGATATGAACACACATGGTGTGATCTACTAGTGATGCAGAAAATACGATCAGTAGCAAGGCATCGGTCATCAGTAGCAAGGCATCGGTCATCAATCCATGCAAATACGATCAGTAGCAAGGCATCGGTCATCAATCATTCTGGACTATGTTAAGGTATAGTTCTGTGAGATTCCGATATAAGGAAATGATAAGAAACGTGGAATGGTGGTGAATGGTGGTGGAACGTTTGGGTCTGTATGTGCACGCACGTGTGCGTGTGTGCGTGTGTGTGTGTGCGTGCACTGGCAACGACCCAGAACAGTGAACATGATAATGACACAAACATGCGTGCAAGCACAAACACACACACACACGCACACATACACACACACACTCGTGCAACCACGCACGTGCCGAACCGCGGATCGGGCGGTCAGCGAATAAAACAAAAATAGCAATGGTCAGTCACCGTAGTAGGTCTGGAGGGGGGGGGGGGGGGCAATATCATACAGAGAATATCATCATTGAAATTCAATGTCAAATATCAACCCCCACGCCTATGTAAGGTGTGCGTGGGGAGCAGTCTTGATATACGTTTCACAAAACACAATTGCATTGCGGTAGTATCGTTGATCCGGGAGATATTCCTAGAGCAAGTAGATATCAAGAACTCTCACAGAAATAAATTACTGCGTGTGAGCACACCGCCACTAGACATAAGGGAGTGATATAAGGGCTGAGTGCCGGGGCCATACACAAATTCTAGTGTCGCCCCCTCAAAGGGTCTTCTTGGTTTTAATACGTCTGTCATGAAGGGAAGGAGGGAGGGGAGAGAGAGAGAGAGAGAGAGAGAGAGAGAGAGAGAGAGAGAGAGAGAGAGAGAGAGAGAGAGAGAGAGAGAGTAAGAGAGAGAGAGAGAGAGAGAGAGAGAGAGAGAGAGAGAGAGAGAGAGAGAGAGAGAAAGAGAGAGAGAGAGAGAGAGAGAGAGAGAGAGAGAGAGAGAGAGAGAGAGAGAGAGAGAGAGAGAGAGAGAGAGAGAGAGAGAGAGAGAGAGAGAGAGCAAAAACACACACACACACGGAGAAAGCTGTAAACAACCAACGGAGCGCAGACAAACATTCATCCAAGCCCTGATCAGCAAGAAAACGCTGAGATTGACAAATCCGTTTCGAATCCAGATGGCTGCAAGAAAGAGTATGAAGAGAAAGACAAAAAAGGTTATGACAGAGAGTCGGAGTTTGGATAGTCTTTATGGACAAAACTGCAAAATGTTGCATTGATCAAATCTGCAAGACTTGGGGAAACGATAATTTCGATTGGGGCAAGCGGTGATAGAGGATCAAACCTGGGAAGGAAACATAGCCGTGCTGAATGTTAAGTTGACAACCCATCTCCAACGCAGCATCACAGTGTCAGACCTCAGAAAGGAACCGGCCCAGACGGACGACAGCCCACTTCCTACAACCTGCTTTAAAAAACTTCCAAAAAAGAGAGAGCATGTGGGCCCACAACCTGTCCATGGTTTCTAAACTGGTTTCTCATCTATCACATGATCTTTCATATCTATCACATAGTTAAACGGGGCAGCCATGCTACTCCACACAACCCTTGCATCGGTAGGTCACCATTCATGATATCGGCCATATTAAAATGCCAACTCCACTCAACCCCTGCATTTATGGGTCACATGATATCAGCCATGCTAATCAATGCCAACTCCACTCAACCCCTACATTTATAGGTCAAAATGACGCCGGCCATGTTGGCTCCAGTGTTCACATTCCATGATAAAGTTCTACACAGAATGTAGTCACTTGATGAAGATGTGAAACCACTGTACAATACAAGTACATGTACCGTATTTCCATGATTGTAAGTCACATCTCCATTTTCAGGTCTCAACCCCATTTTCAGGTCTCATCCCCATTTTCAGGTCTCAACCCCATTTTCAGGTCTCAACCCCATTTTCAGGTCACATCCCCATTTTCAGGTCTCATCCCCATTTTCAGGTCTCAACCCCATTTTCAGGTCTCATCCCCATTTTCAGGTCTCAACCCCATTTTCAGGTCTCAACCCCATTTTCAGGTCACATCCCCATTTTCAGGTCACATCCCCATTTTCAGGTCTCATCCCCATTTTCAGGTCTCATCCCCATTTTCAGGTCTCATCCCCATTTTCAGGTCACATCCCCATTTTCAGGTCACATCCCCATTTTCAGGTCACATGCCCATTTTCAGGTCACATCCCCATTTTCAGGTCACATCCCCATTTTCAGGTCACATCCCCATTTTCAGGTCTCATCCCCATTTTCAGGTCTCATCCCCATTTTCAGGTCTCATCCCCATTTTCAGGTCTCATCCCCATTTTCAGGTCACATCCCCATTTTCAGGTCTCAACCATTTTTTACAATACAGTAAAACCTGTGAAGGCGACCACTCGGATAAGGCGACCACCTGTCCTAGAAGACCACGGAAACCAGAATCAAGGGATGCTCTTTCCAGTCAAACGGCCCTGGATAAGGAGACCACCTGGTAACAGAGACCACATTTCAAAGGTCCCTTGAGCGGCCGTCTTAGACAGGTTTCACTGTGCATTCACTACAGTAGCAAGCCATGCTCGATTGTAAGTCGCATCTCTGTCGTTGGCCATGACATGAAGTTTAGCGAAAAAAACCCTTAAAACGTGCGACTTTAAATTCTGAAGGACGCATCACCATGGTCACGCTGCACCTTCATTCTACGGCGCGACTTTATTCGGGGTTATGCGGTATACCGTGTAAGACATGTTGGTATCGAATCGTTGTCCAAAATCCACAGGTTAAAACGAGAAGATACGTTAACGATCATCTTGCAGTCTTCAGGCATATCCGCACATAACACGTGTGAAGATTTACTGCCTCAACAGAACGAATCACGACGAAGAAATATCACCTGTTAAAACGTTAGATTTACTTCCTCGTTATGTATTTACATGTCTTACAGCACGTAAACTGCAGGGTATATTCTAGGACGAATTTCCAACCGGTTACGGTCCAATGAAGAGTTGGGGGTGCGGGGGTCCCCCCGGAAAAAAATTTCAAACTACAACCCAAATATTTCTTGGTGCTGGAGTGCGTTTGACCATTCACAGCTCCATTCACCCACAGAAAAGTACGGGCGGTTGGAACTGATTTGTAACTTTTCAACCGGTCGCCAACAATTTCAACCGGTCGAAAACCGGTTGGGGCGGTTCTAGAAAATTCCCTGGTAAAGGTGAAACTTACCTTTTGTGTGTGTGTGTGTGTGTGTGTGTGTGTGTGAGTATGCATCATGTGCAGTGTGCTAGACGGGGGTGCTCCGATGATTGGCAGGACCCAGCAAGGACACGCAGCATTGCACTGCCAAGGCGACGTCTTCAAACAGCGGTACGCCGTGCCGATGGCAGAGCTCACGCAAGTACGACCGGCCGCGGTTGTAGTCCTTGACCGCACGCTGTGTCATCTCAATGCCGAGTATACTGGCATCGGCGGGCAAGTCCTGTGAGCACAAACCAACACGCACGACCGACCAACAGACAGACGTACAGACAGACGTACAGACATACAGACTCATACTCATATTCCTGCCCATCGTTGAAGCGATTGTAGCGAACAAGCTATGTTAGACATAACAACTTGTGCTGGGATTACACCATTCAACAGACAGACACAGACAGACAGACAGAGAAAGACAGACAGAAAGTCAGACAGACACACAGACAGACACACAGACAAACACACAGACAGACACACCATGTACCATACACACACACACACACACATAGCCATTGAAAGTGATCAAAAATATAAACGGATGTTACACAGTGAACCGATCCACTGTGACCACCAGATCTCCATCTGTCTCACCTGGCACACTGCATCCCATCCATCTGTCCGCGTGTATCCTCTTCTCCTTCCCCCCCTCCCTCCCCCCCCCCCTTACATCCACATGCCTGTACATATACATACCTGAATGGATATTACAAGATTGCCGCGTGTCCCGATGCGATACGCCGCTTCCACCATGGAGCCAGCCGAACGTGAGTCAGCGGTGATACAGACCAGCATCATTTCACACTGGTCTCGGTAGTAGGACTCGGTCGGTATCTGGCATACACTCCAGCCAGCCGGTAGCTAAATATAGCAAAACAACAATGTCAGACACAGCAACCGAACAATGTCAACCACAGCAACCGAACAGTGTCAAGCACAGCGACCGAACAATGTCAGACACGGCAACAACAATCTCAGACACATCAACAACAATGTCAGCCACATAAACTCGCCTAAAATCCGGACAGGTTGTGTCCGAGCACTGCCCTCACTGCCCTCACTGCCCGTAACCAGGAATTGCCCGCACCTAGAACATACATACTCAAGTACTCACTGCATGCAAGTACTGTAAGTAAGACCAGGGATTTTAACGTCAATTAAAGTTAGCGATCTGCGGATTTTTGTGGGTTAGCGAGGTGAAATTCTAACGAATTCTGTCTCAAAACCGGCAAATGACTGTAGATGTACATATCGTTTTACAGCAAACACTTCGTTAGGGCGCGTTCAGACTACGGTGAATCCCGTCAAACCGTGAATGCCGATAAACCGTGAGGGACATTCACACTACCGATAAACTAAGGTTAAACTTTCCCATTCCGTCACTTTTTATCGGCAGTCTGAACGCGTCCTTACGCCAATCACTAGTAAATGGGGCAGTTTTGTTGAAAAGTCAATTTTTTGTGACTTGAGTAGAGGGGTCAGAAAGGTGCCCGGGTAGGCGGACACGCCCGGATTCGGGGCGTCCGGATCCGGGGAACTCTCACCTGTGGGTTGTAGTACGATATCCGATGTTGTCGTAGCAACGGCGCTGCCATTTCCTCTCGCCACGTCGACGACCCGCACGACCCAGCGAGAAAGACGGAGGGCATGTGATGGTGACGGATGCGGCGCCGATGTAGCTCCACAAAGCGCCGCCAGAAAGAGCGCAGATAGCGAGTGAAGCGCAGCCACACCGAGCTACCACCGGTGAAGTATTGCCATGGCGATTTGTGATGCCTCGGCTTCCCGGCATGCCTGTCATCAGAATCACGCGCGGTGTTGAAATCCGTTGTCATGGAATTGTCAAGGCTACACAGCTGGGATACGAGCGTGCAGAAGCCGTCGTAGTTGACACGAGACTCACTCTCCATCGTCGCCGGCGATGCCGTTGCCACGCCGATCTGTTGTCTGTCGACACTGGAGCTGACACTGCTCCCGCCGCTGGTCTCCACGGATACGGTGCTCGTCGGATATGACGATGACAATGATGGTGATGCATGTGTAGCGACGTGTGGCTGTGCACGCACAGCTCCAAGCCGTCCACTGGGCAGAATACCCTGAGCGGCGTGTCTTGCGTCAGACACGGTCGCCGTTGGCACGTGCTTGGAGCTGAAGTGCTGCAGCGTCGTCGTCGTCGGCTGTTGTACACTCTCACGACATGCTGTAGCAGTGCTACTACTACTACTACTGGATAGCAGGAACGCATTCTGAAGGCGTACGATGTCGTCGCCATAGCGATGAGACCGGATCGGCTTCGGCGCGCTGAGTCGCAGCAGGGGCGAGCTAGCCCTGCGGTGTCCGACCGCATGCAGCATGGCATAGTCCCACAGGTCATCGCTAGACAGTGTCGGCGGCAGCAGCGCATCAGACGCCGAGGCGGATCCCGCGCTCGCTGGGCTTTCTCCACGTACACCGTTGGTTGCCATGGTGGTGTTGACGGCATGATCTGCCGAGCAGCTAGCCAGGCTCTGTAGTGCATCACCATCGTCTAGTTGTGTGGTACCCAGTGCTGCTGCTCTGTCACTACACACACATTCAAAACTGCCTGCATCGCCTCCAGCTTCACGGTGACTAGCGCCTAGAGCACTATCAACGGCGACACTGTTGCTAGTGGCGATGGCGTGATCATTACCTCCACCGTTACTAGCAGTAGCACCGCCATGACCGTTTACTCCACCATTGCTTGCGGCAACAGACTCACCATTGGTTGAACTGTTCCTACATGCAGTGGTATCAGTATCGGACATGAGGTTGCTCGTGGCAACACCACCGCCATTCACGTGCGGCTCGGTGTTATCCGTGGGAATAGAAGCGGGTGGTGTGTGCGTGCGGGCGTCGCTAGCGTTGCTGGTGGTACTGGTGTTTCTGCGGTGCTCCTGGAACAGCTCAGTTACACACAGCATGGCCTCGCGCACCTCCGAGAATACAAACGTTCCGCTGTTCTCGGCGATGTCGAGCAGGAACGCACGCGCGTTGTTCAAATCCGACACCTCGGAGTCGCACACGCTGATGCTGTCCTTGATCTGAGAGCTGGACGATGCAGCGGCTGGTGTCGGTGCTGTGGCCGGAGAAGATGATACCAACCGAACGACGGTGACCACCAAACGTCCCAGGCCAATCAAATAGGCCGCTTCAACCAGGGACGCAACGGCGCGTGTCTGGTCGTCAACGACGAAGAGCAGGAGGGAAGCGCGCCGCTTGGCCTCGCGCTCAATGTCGATCAGCTCTGGATACCAGTCGTCAACCTGGTGTCGCACACAGTCAGGTATGCCAGGGAACAGACAGAGGGACAGGCAGACAGAACACACATGGACACACAGCTCTTTGTCCCAAAAAAGGTTTTCGTATAAAATGCCCAATTCAGGCCCCATTTCTTAGTGGAAATAGCAGCAAACACAATAGGGTTCTGTACAACCGGGTCTACGGGATTCTACGAGATTCTACGGGATTTCGTGCATCTGTACAACATGCATAAGGCTTAGGGCATGTTTGATTGTACGAATCCATCAGCCCCGGACCCGGATTCGCCAAACTCGTACATGTTCGATTGTACGAATCCGGATGCCGAGAGCACGGATTCGGATCCAGTCAACCCACCTCCCAGAGACGGATTCGACGGATTCATTTCCATTGTACGACTCATATCTACTCAAAACTCCCAATATGCGTACACTAGGTCAAGAGTTCACCACAATGCATACAGATACTACGGGATGAGCTGTAGCAATGCGGTTGCTAAGGCCTTGAAACGGATTATCGGTTGTGCACATTCGATTGTAGCCGTCCGATCAAAGTGATCTGATCGGCGGGGATCGGGATCCAGTTTCCACAATCGAATGCAGCCTAATTGACACCGTGTAGTGTATGACGTACACATGTAGGTGTACTGCATGCTGTTGTGTATGGTGTTTGTCGCCGTATTGTCCCTCTCCGTATTGTCTCTCTCTCATCTACAATCATGCATGCTCGTTGCAAATAAATGAGTCTTTGCCTTGTCCCACAATGGACTCCTGCGTGGCTCCAGGCGAACACAGCATGGTGGCAGCGGTGCAGGGGTGTCGGACACGCTACGGTCACTACGGTATTGACCGTACCACTTTTTGCCCCAGGTACCCCATGAATCAATCAAATACTCATCTGGGCCCTAAAAAATTTCAAAATTTTCAGCTCAGCCACCCCTCCCGACACGAGTAAATTGTACTTCAGATGATTGACCGTACCACCCTGAAATACCTTCTGACGACCCTGCGGTGGGAATGCGTACAACAATGAATGCTACCCGCGGCGGTGCCAACTTTTCAACATGTTTGTACATGTGACGTGTACAAATTGTCTTGCCCACAATTGTAGGCAAACAAGATTTTGGTAGTGATATGCTCATTCGGCCTCGCCATATGGACGGATTGGACCCGGCCGTCGATCACAACAGAGGGGCGTCGGAAGGTATTCTAGTGTGGTACGGTCAGCCATCAGAAGTACAAGTTACTCGTGTCGGGAGGGGTGGCAGACTTGGAAATTTTGAGCCCAGATGAGTGCATTTGATTGATTCATGGGGTACCTGGGGCAAAAAGCGGTACGGTCAATACCGTAGTGACCGTACTGTCTCCGACGCCCCTGCTACAAATCACTGAGTGGATTCTACTGTTTGGGATGTGTATTCAGATTAGGATCCAACCAAAATAATGACCACAGCCTAAGATCGGACAGAGAGAAACTACACACGTGCATTCATTCCCCCTCGGCTCTCTCACCTGCGGATTGAAGTAGGTCACATTGCACGAGTCTAGCCAGGGGATGGCAATGTCGCTACGCCATGTCGTCGGGTTACACGAACCGCCTAGAAAGACTTGTTCTGCCGCCGTCTCTTGCTCGCTAGTGCAGTCATGTTCCACATTAGAACCAATCACCACAGCGTCCACACTACTCCCTGCGTCACTGCTAGTCACACTGCTGGGTAGAAGCCGTAACCGATTGTCCAATTGCACCGGATACTGTGACGTCATGTCACCATGGTGATGCAGCAGGCGCCTAAAGACGGTGACCATCCAGCAGAACTCGCCGAATAGGAGGACACGTTCGCCGTTCAGCGCCGCCGCAGCTACGGCTAGTGCGATATCGTTAGTGGTTGCAGGTAAGCCGGCGAAGCGCTTTTTGAACTCGCTGGCACGCTGCGTCGCCTCGAGCAGCTGCGAATACGTTACACTGACTCCACAGGACGTGAAGGCCCGATATGCCTCATCCATACTGAGCCAATGTCCGTTGCTGGATTCCTGCAGAAAGAGCGCGCGGAGAGAGCGCACGCCACGACTAAACACATGATTCGCGTATACAGGTTTGCCTTGTCCATCCATTTCACCCGTCTGTTTCCGTTGTTCAAATAATTGTCCTGTCCGGTAAGAGAAGGTAATTTCCTACACAGCTACAACTCGTGCTGCGCGATGATTCACCTTTCTGCTTGTCCACCAAGCTGACGAAAACAACAAACCGATTCGAAAGTCTTCTGCTCCATTCCACAAACTCTATTTTACTCCATGAACCTAGCCTATGTCACAGTATGTGGCATATGCCTTGCCCGTGACGTCTGACGAGGTCAACACTACATTGTAGTCGCACAACAGAACACCCGTACATATTTTCAATGATGTAACTATCATTTCAAATATAGAATTCATGAGTCATGATGACATGATCGAAACCGGAAAAATGATTTTTCTGCCCAGAATATTATCAAATTTTTTTACTGGCGCCATGTAAAATGCGTTCATGCCCACTTCTTCCTCGTCTTTTCGCCCGGTGGTCTTCTGGTTTGCAGTACAGTACGCGAGTCACATAACAGTGTGCATGTGGGAAACTGTAGACTCCTACCAAGACGTGTTTGCAGAAGAACATTTTCTTTTCCAGCACACGTCGTTCCTTGAAGACTTCACCTGGGCTGTACGAGTACGTACCGTCCTTCTTGAATCACAGTTTTCGAGTGAGCTGAGCTGCATGATATGAGCTGATCAGCTCTGACGTAACCCGCGCCGCGCCGCGCCGACGATTTTTGGTTTTGGTTCCGGCAAAATAATGTTTTCGGTACGTCCTTCACATTATCATGACGTCATTTTTGCATTAGCGCGCCATCATGACGTCAAGTGAGGTACATCACGTGAACTTTTGCGCATGCGTCTCACTAGTATTAGCATTTTTATGCATGTAGGTGAAAAAATGGCGTTCCACATCTTCTCGTGGAACCAGTGCATGCACCATGCAGTGCATGCAGTGGATCTGCAGTGCAGACTGCACTGTGCAGTGCATGCAGAGATCTGCGCGGCTGCAAAATAATCACAAAACTGGCATGCAAAACAGTGAACGACTTGGAGAGATCTGTTTGAGTGCATTTCTGGACGCGGCAGAGGATCGCGTGTTTGTACATGCGAGATAGCAGTGTCGAACTGTACCAGCAGTCTTTCTATGGATTTATGCAGCATCTGACGCCCCTGCTGTTTCTGATAGCGTTGCTGAGGCGCCGCGTGGAGGGTATGAGATGCCTCGGACGCGCAGAAAGGCTGCTGCAGCTGCAAATGAGAAAATTAAGCACCTGACTGGACCAGAAGCTGTGGAAAGTAAAGACCTGAAGGATGAAATTGTCATAAGAACTCCAGGGCACAAGAAAAAAGCCAGCCTTCTGCTGCCACCACCACCCACAGCTGAGGATGTGCGGAAGTTTAGCAGGTCTAATAGTCCAAAGCCTGTGGATGATAGTATTTGTGAGGAGATAGACACACCACCCTGTCAATTACCATTGTCTTCAAATGACCTGCTGCTGGACGATAAGTTTGTGCTGAGCGCGCTGAGCGTGCACGAGTTCCTGCGCGTGTTTGGGCGCGTGCTGCGCTTAGCACCGTTCCGCTTTGAAGACCTGTGTGCGTCGCTGGTGGTGGACGAACGCTGCTGTCTGTCGGCCGAGGTGCACATCAGCCTGCTGCGATGCTTGCTGGCCGAGGACGACCTGTGTTCGGTGGAGTACGCCCCCAGTGAAGAGCACGACAGTGTCAATGTTCACTGGGCCGTCATCGACGCCATGACGTGGCCGGCGTGTTTGCTCACCTACTTGCGCGCAGACCCGGACTTCATGAAGAAGCACCCGTCGCTAGGCGACAAGCGCTCGTCGTGGCAAAACTACCCGATAGTGTCGCCACGGTACCGCGTGGACGTGCTGAGCTTCCTGTGTGCGCGTGCGTCCGAGACGGCGCTCATACACCAGTGCGTGAACGTGGACATGCAGTTTGAGAGCGAGGACTATTGCCGATGGTGCGGTCGCCTAGGCGACATGGTGTGCTGCGATCGCTGCCCGGCCGTGTATCACCTGCATTGCCTGAAGCCACCGCTGGCTAGCGTGCCGGAAGGTGATTGGACGTGTCCGACGTGTGTAGCCATTGGGACTAGCGGTGTAGTCAGCAGTGCCGGTGGTGGGAGTGATGCGGTGGTGTTGACAGCACTGAGGCACTCGCCCATCGTAGTGGACAAGTGGGGCAGGCGCTATTGGCATCTGGCTCGCCGTGTGTTCGTGTAAGTGTCCGAGGTCATTGCGCCGTGATAACGCGAGAGCAAGGGTGTGTGTGTGTGTGTGTGTGTGTGTGTGTGTTTTGTGTGTGTATGTTTGTGCGTGCGCAGCTCAGCTGGATTGCGGTTGCGGCGGAAATTCCTGAATTACATTTTGTTAGTGATACGGAATGTGCAAGCAGGATTCAAGCAGACCTGCTGCTGCATAACTGTAGCAGACCTGCTGCTGCATAACTGTAGCAGACCTGCTGCTGCATAACTGTAGCAGACCTGCTGCTGCATAACTGTAGCAGACCTGCTGCTGCATAGCTGTAGCAGACCTGCTGCTGCATAACTGTAACAGACCTGCTGCTGCATAGCTGTAGCAGACCTGCTGCTGCATAGCTGTAGCAGACCTGCTGCTGCATAACTGTAGCAGACCTGCTGCTGCATAACTGTAGCAGACCTGCTGCTGCATAACTGTAGCAGACCTGCTGCTGCATAACTGTAGCAGCTTTGTTGTCCCCATCTGATCCAGAGTACATAACCCCAAGAGTGTGCAACTGCCTGCGTATCCTTTATCCAGTGCTGACACGAGGGCAGAACTTCACACCATGTCAAATGGTTCAAAAGGTTACGCTGGCAAACAGTGCAAAGTGACCGCAAGAGAGTTGAACTCAACGCAGGGTTGCGTACAACCCTGTATTTATCATGTACAGGGTGAACATATTGTGTACGAGTTTGTCACGTGATATGTAGTTCTGCCGTGGCAGACCCCATAGCTGTAGTTGCACATTATTGGGGGTTATGTACTCTTGATATGACAGAGCTTAGTACACAGGTATCAGGTGTCTGATGATTGCCTAGCGGCATGAAACTCAGAGTTACAACCAACCTGTGCGTCCTCTGCTGAGTCTGCTATGTACTCTTGATATGATGTAATCCAGGAATTTCGCGCCCATGTCACACATGCATGTGGGATGGGAGCGGCACACTCTGCGCTCACGTACTGTATAGTGATACTTGTCTAAGTCTTCCGCTCACGGGACCCGTAGTATAGTCCCCTTACACGGGATGATGTTGGTCGAAATGGCAGTCTTTGTTCCTGTATTGTTTGTGATCCTGAAGTACCGATTTTGTCCGGACGAGAGTGCTCACCTAGACATGCTTAACTGTACCCCTTATATGCAGGCACCATTGCCCGTGGGTTACCTGTATGTAAAGGGGGGTAAGCCTCGTAGTATAGACTGTTCTTATTTTCATGTACAACAATCTATGCACAGTTGAGTCACCGGGTATATATCGGTATGCTGTACTTGTTGAAATTCTAGCTTGGTCGTTCTTGGGCGCTACTTTCTCAGTCGCCTGACGGTACTGTACTTTGATAAGTTATACTCTTCCTTAGCACACCGTCACTGTCCGGAGAACCCAGGGGGGGGGGGGGGGGGGGGGGTAGTAATGGTATACCGTATTGTCTCCGTTATAAGCCCAGCGCTACCAGTCCGGACCCTGAGCTTCTATTGGAGACTGGGCTTCTACTAGAGACTGGGCTTATAATTTTTCAACCACCTGCTACATGTACACTGCTGATTATTTGTCATTATATCAGTAGCAGATAGTTTCCCAGCAGGTACCGGGGACTGCAGTTTTGTGCTTCCTGGTACACCGAGTCTGTACTTTAGATCTCGGGGATCACAGACTTTTACCACAGCATGTGTTTATGTGATACTGTGTGACGTCAAACATGCAGAGTATGATCCATACGCTTCTCCATTATAAGCCCTGCGCTTATATCGGAGACTGCGCTTGTATATCTTCGAAGCCCTCTTGGAGTGCGCTTATAACAGAGACTGGGCTTCTACAAGAGACTGCGCTTGTAGTAGAGATAATACGGTATACACTTTTCTGCTTAACCCCCTTGCCATGGGCGTACCACCTATCAGGGCTCTGTTGCAGTTCCCCTAGGTAGTCAGCCCTGGGGGCTGCTGAGAAGTCTCCACTTCCTAAGCAGCACACTGTCTTCGAATGTCGAGCTAGGACAGCTAGCCGAAGCCCATTATGAAGTTCACGAAAGTTAAATTTACATGTATGCCTTTGTCTAGTTTAGTCCGGCGGACATGAGGTGTTGGATGTCAAACATGGGATTATACAACATAATCCTGCCATCCTTGGGGTGCACATGTGTGCTAAATTCTATTTTTGGCTTGGATGTGTGTGTGTGTGTGTGTATGTGTGTGTATGTGTGTGTGTGTGTGTGTGTGTGTGTGTGTGTGTGTGTGTGTGTGTGTGTGTGTGTGTGTGTGTGTGTGTGTGTGTGTGTGTGTGTGTATGCCTACATGCACGCTGTCCTTTCTTGTTTGTTCTGCTGCCTGTGTATGTGCACACAGTGAGACACGTGGTGGTGACCTGGTGGCCTACTACAGCGCTGAGAGTCACTTCCAGGAACTGATGACGTCATTACGTGATAGCGGTGACAATACCACCGTGGAGCAATTGGAGGAACTGTCCGAAACCATCGTTGTCGGCATGCAGCAGACGCAGCTGTGGATAGAAGCAGCGCGGCTTCTCCCAGTAAGCAATCGTATACGTGTCCCACCCAAGAACGCTCCGTCACCGACTACCAGCAGCATCACACCGCCTGCCTCTGGCAATCATCCCTCCAGTCTAGTGGCGTCGGCGACGGCATCGAGCACGACTACCGCAACTGCAGCGGCGGGGGCGGCGCCGGCGGTGGCGAGTACTTGTACCGTTGGTGCTGCTGCTACAGTGACGTCATCCGTAGCAGCAGCGTCGTGCACAACCGCCTCGAACGCCACTACTGCCACCACCGCCGCCGTTAGTACTGTAACGTCTTCTGTTGTACTCCGGTCACCGCCACCGCCTGCTGCTGCTGCTACCTCTGCTCCGGCAGCCGTGAATGGTGGTGCTATGGCAACGCCGTCAGTGGCTATCACAGCTGCTACTACCACCGCCACCACTGCCGCCAGCACCAGCACCAGTGCTCCTCCTGCTGCTCACGTACCCATAACCACGCAAGCCCTCGTCACGGCAAACGAGCTAACGGCCGAGGAGAGGCCCGTCACGACCAACGCCGTAGCGCAGTCCAACACTGCCGTAACACCCACCACCGCCGCAGCCATAGCAACACCCGTGTCTTCCGTTGCCTCGGTAACCGCTGAACGCATGGATACTGGCATTGCGGGTGCTGCGCCGGTTGAGTCTAGCTGCAGTCCGACTGTGGAAGGTGCGATGTCCACGTCCAATCCTGTCATGGCAACGAATGCATTGTCTACAGCGACATCATCATTGTCACAAGCAACTACAACTGCTAGTCATGGTAGTGATGGTGCTACTGCTACTACTGCTGTTGCTGTTGTTGTTACTAGTGATGGAGGAGTCAACTCAGCTACTGAACAGCAGACAACAACACCATGCCAAAGTGTAACGGCCAAGACGGGTGACAGCACTACCACCAGCAGCAGCAATGCTGCTGTGTCGACGTCATCAGCATCTTCTCAATCCCATACAGATGTCACCAGCGTATCTGTGCAGCCTAGCAACACCGTCTCCACTCCTAGTGTGTCGGCGGCAGCACCTCCATCCACTTTGCCAGTGTCTTTGCCAGCAGCACCTCTGGCATTGTCCCAGCCAACACGCACACCAGCCATGTTTTGTCTGGGAACGGAGGGCCACTATCGACAGTACACTAATATTTATGCATTATCCAAACAGGCCCTTGGCAAGCTAGTGCACACGGAAGACAACGAGCAGAAACGTGCCCGTTTCGGAGGCTTCAGCCAGCACGCCATGGCCTGGTCGGGCGCGACGACCGGTAGCTTAGCAGCCATGGCAGTAACGTTACGCCAGTCCATCTTGCACATGGAGAGCTCGCTACCGATGGTTGCCAAGTGCTCGTTGTGGTACAAGCGCAGGCCTCATTGGGTCAAGGCGGTCGAGCTGTGTCAGCGGCCGCACGAGTTCTCCATTGTCATGTGTCATCTGCTGCGATGCCTGCGTCCCACATCGCTGCGAGACTCGTGGACACGCTCCATCGGCAATTTCTCCATGCACCGCCGATCGCAGCACGAGTGGGAACAACTGGAAGCAACGGCAAAGCGTAACGGTGGAAGCTTAGGAGGCGGTGGCACGTTACGAGATCGTGCGGAAGCCGAAGGCCCGGCGTTTGCCGACAAGAAGGAAGCGGTGAACTACTCTAGCATTCCGCTACGCCACCGCGTGTGGAAACAGCGCGGTGAGGAGTACCGTGTGTTTGGAGGTGGTTGGGAGTACGTCAGTGCGAGGAGGTCGGTTCGCGCCGCCACCACGTTGAAGTCCGTGTCGCTGCGCAGAGCCAAAGCTAAGCGCGTACACACGGCCATTGAGCGTGGTCTCAAGTTCCTGGCCGCTGATCTGGATGGTGTGAAATCTCAGCGGCGACGGCAACGGCTTGCGGAGACCTTCTACAACGAGTCGTACTTGAAACCCAAGGCGGAGATTGATGCGCTGATTAAGGCTAATACACTGCCCGGTGCTAATGCAACCAGCACGGCCACAGCATCAGCAAGCCCTCTACAATCCCCAGCGCCTGTCGGTTCAGCAGCTGGCAACACCGCCGCGGCAAAGCTGGAATTGCGACCCAACCTAAAGCTCTCGTTGAATCCTGGCAGCACCAAGAGCGGAAATCTCACTGTCGACTGCACGACTGTGAATGCAGACACTGCTGGTGCTGGTGGCGATGTTCGGATGGACACCAGCAAACTCTCGCCGGCCTCATTTGGAGGCAGTAAATCATCATCACGTCAGTCTAGTCCTGGCCATTCACCATACGCCAGCCCAGCCACTTCACCCATCAACACACCGCGTCTCGAGACATCGTCGTTCTCAAAGACGAAGCGATTGACTTCGCTCAGCTCACGCCAGCCACCGCCGCTATCGCTGATGAAGAAATCCCTCGGCAAACCGGCCTCGGATAGCACGCCACCGCCTCAAGCGCCCACGCTACCGCCTCAAATGCCTACGCTACCTAAAGGCCTCGTCTTGCAATCATTTCCCTCTTACAAAACTAACAATGCCGGAGATGATGGTACGGCCAAGTCCACGTCCTTGTCCTCCGGGGATGGTGTGCCAGTGGCGTGTGCAGACCAGGTGATATCAGCCACAGCCACCGGAATTTCTACGACTACTAGTGCTGCCAATGCTGGAGAGTCGGTGACGGTGCCTGCACTTTCCGCTGCATCAACGACAGACTCCACGCCCGTACCCTGCTGTGTATCTGTGAGTACATCATCATCTCAGTCATCTGCATCGCCAGCTATACCGGTGGAGATGGCGATGGCGGTGGTGACGGAGGCGACATCATCATCAGCGTCAGCAGCAGTGGTTCCAGTCTCAGCTGACACCATCGTGTGCACTACTACAGGACCCAGTGCTGGCAGTGCTGCTAGTAGTGAGCTGTGCTTGCAGACCACTGCAGCATGTAGTACTGCTACGTCCATAGCATCTCTTACAGCCACTGCTTTTACTCCAGCCAGTAGCAGCGATATTGCATCAGCCAACACCAGCAGTCCCCCGGCCAGCGCGAGCACCGCAACAGCCAGCAGTAGTACGAGTCTTTCTTTATCCACATTGTCCCCATTGTCCCCATCTCATGCATTGTCCAGTAGTAGTCAGACCACATTGCTAGCTACTGCTACAGGCACTGCTCTGGATACTGTGCTTGCTGCTCTGCACACTGACAACAACCAGTCCAGCAACATTGCCACAGTTACAGATGTGCATGGTAACTCTACCACCGCCACGGCCACGGCCAGTACAGCAGTGTGCACAGCCAGCGTCACCAGCAGCACCCCTACTGCTGTTATTCCTGCTGCTGCTGCTGCTGCTGCTGCTGCTGCTGTGTCCACACTAGACACTGCATTAGTAGCTCCGGGTTTTCTTCTACAAGAACAGCTACCACCAGTACTGACTGAAAGCACCACCGATCATCGCTTGCCATCTTTCTCAGCTAGTTTTGCTCCGCTGGCACCGTCCCTATCATCGGCTGTGTCGCACCGCCAGCACCAGCAGCCACGAGAGCAGCGGGAGGAGGATTCCACAGTTGATCTGCCGCTCTGCAGGCATGCTGCTGATCCGTCTATGCTGGCCGAGTCCGTTGCTCTCCTTGAGAAACACTCGTCAACCACGGCGGTCCTGGGCAGTGTCATCGTTCCACCCGTCCCTACTGATACCCTCCGATCCATTGGCCACACATTGTCCACGGCAACGCTGACACCGTGTAACAGCGACATCGTTGCTGTAGCAACTGGAGACGATTCGCGACAATCTGCCGCGGAGGATATTGCCCAGGCGTCGCAACTCGGCTGTGAGCCATTGCCTACGGATGTGCTATCAGCTGGCCACACATTACAGTGTGACGCAGCATCAACGGAGCAGCAGCAGCAACATCAGCTTCCAGTCAATAGTGATGCGCTGGATATGTCTAATCTTGTATCGTTGGCAGAGGTGGCTGCAGCCACAGCTGGGAACAACACTGCACTGGAGCAGAACCGGGCAGACAAACACTCTCTTGCCTCAGCCGCCCCAATAAGTGCAGCGTCCGTCCTGATTGCCACGGACAGCACAGCGCGCAGTCAGGTATCGGCAGCTGCCCAGCACCAGGCTTCTTCGGCATTGGACAGCGTTGATTGTGTGCCTGCCAAGCAGAATACCACCACCGGTAGCTCAGCCGACGGCACCCCAGCAGCCAGCGGCAGTGCTTCGCCAGCACCGTGCCCTAGTGAAGACCGCCAGCCAAGTGTTTCGGATACTCCAGTGATTGCGTTGCGGCAGCAGCAGGAGGATATGTCGTCATCACCATTGCTTGATAAGTCCACTGTGACGTCAGCACCGGTGTCGACTGACAGTGTGTCAACGGACTGTAGCAGCAACACCAGTGGGGACAATAGCGGTTCCAATGGTTCCAGCTGCCCTGTTCAACATAATACTGACTCCAGTAGCGCAGTGCAAGGCAACAGTGTACAACCTGAACCAATGGACATAGATGAGTCCACACCACACGCACTCCCATCATCTCCTTCTTGTAGCAGTGCAGCAGCAGCAGCAGCAGCAGCCGCAGTCAGTACTGACAGTGTTCCTGCAGTGGCATTGGCGTCTTCAGGACCTCAACCAGTCCCCGCTGCCGTCCAGTCTGATGCCAGTGTAGCGTGCAGCGCGGCAACTGTAGATACTACCGGTGAGAGTACATCAACGCAGACACCTACATCCGCAGCTGGCCCGGCGACTAGTTCTCATTCTATCAAGGTGTTGTCCTCTATCACTGATAGCATTGCTCTGACTACAGCCAGCTCTCTGTCTACAGTAGATCAATCAGCAACAGCACCAACAACAGGAGCAGTACCGCTGACAACAGAAGCAGCGGCAGTAACAGCAGCAGCAACAACAGCAGTAACAGCAGCAGCGGTGGAAGCCGCAAATTGCCCTCCTCTGAGCAGCTTGGCTAGCGCTCAGAAGAGCACGGAAGCTGTAGAAGTTCCTATGGATACTAGCGACGACTTCTGTGTTCCAGGTGGTGATGCTGTGGACGGAGGTGTTATGTCGATTGCAAAGAGAGCCACTGCAGCAGAAACAGCGGCACCTGCGCCAGGAGTTGTTGATACGGCAAGACCAGCAGAAACAGCAGTGGCAGCACCAACGTCAGGAATTGTGGGTACAGCAGGACCAGCAGAAGCAGCAGCAGTGGCAGCACCGCAGCCACCTGTTGTTGATACAGCATTACCAGCAGAAGCAACATTGACAATGCCCACACCAACTCCCACATGTCTACTTGGTGGTATGTCTGCCACTGAAACACTACCATCGTGTTCTGCCACGACATCCACTTCATCTAGCACACCAACAACAACGATGGCCGCAGTTGTAACATCACACATGACTGCAGAGACAACAACCTCCTCTGCAGTAACAACAGCCTCCTCTGCAGTAACAGCAGCCTCCTCTGCAGTAACAACAGCCTCCTCTGCAGTAACAACAGCAGCAGCAGCAGCGGCAGCCAGTCTAACACCAATAACAACAACTGCAGCCGTTGTGAATACTAGCACAGGGCCCACGCCAACACCAACAGCAGCCACCGTCGCAGCAGCAGCAGCAGCAGCAGGTCTAACAACATCAGAGAACGACACTTTACAGGATGAGCCAATGGCTGTGGTAACCAGCGACGACGGCCAATCAGCTCATCGACACATATCCGCTGGTAACATTGCCGTTTCTTATGCACAGTTCAAGAAACAGCTCGGTTCCACCACGACATCCTCTTCCTGTCCGCTGTTATCTACACCAGCTAGCAGTACCAGCATGACCAGTGTGCCTATGACAGGACTTACCAGTGTATCGACCACCGGCAACCCTCTAGCCCTTGCAGCCGTTCAAACATCATCAGCTAGTCCAACATGTGCAGCCTCCATGCTATTGTCGTTGTCGTCTTCTTCGTCCACACCCGTTTTAAATGCTGCACCCGATGTCGTGTCATCGTCGTCGTCCGCACAGAGCGGCACAAGTGCTCTGTCATTGGTTGTGAGTACTGCTGGTAACCATGACTCCTCGTCATCAGCATCCATGTCACCATCTGTCGCCGCCGCTCACTCTCAAGTCATCTCGTCGGCCATCCAACGCCTCAACGAGTCCAAGCAGCTGAAAACCGCTACGCCGCAGTCGCCATCTCCGTCCGATGTTCACACCCAGCGTAGCCGGCTTGACTTGTCCGTGACTACGTCACCAAAGCTACCGTTGTCGTTGCCTGCCCTGGCGAGAACACCCAATATCCTCTCTCCGAAGTCAGGATCGGCGGCGTCATCCACTGCGGTGACTCCTTCTGGCAGCGGCACGCCGACCAAGCCACGCATATCCCGTCTGCCGGCAACTAACAGACGTGTTAGCGCTGCCGGTGTTAGTAGCGGCAGTAGCGTCGCACGACCTCTATCCCAGGCTGCCGTCTCGCCGGGCTTCTCGGCGCAAACGCCGACGCGATTCCTCTCCTCGTCCGCCATGCGTCAGAAGATGACGGAGATATCGGCGCGCTGGCAACGTACCGGATCGGCGGCCTCGCCGTACACGCTAATAAGCCGTCAGACGCTACGCAGACTGGCACGGCGAGGCGGGCAGATGGAGGTTAGCGTGGACTTTGTGTCCAGCAAGGGTGCCAACGCGGCCGGCAGCAGCCTGCGTCCGTTCCTGGCGCCGCGCCCCGCGTTCAACGTCATGTGGACGTTCCACACGCAGTCGCTGACCTCGCTGAACGGCGTGGCGCTGCAGCTGCGCCTGCTGTACGCCTCGCTGCGCTGGGAGACGCTGCTGAGTCGCGTAGTGCGCGGTCCGCCCATGCAGATCACCACTCGTCCCGACGGCACCACCATCACCAAGGAGATCGCCGCTCGGCGTGACTGCGACGTGCTCGGTCTGATCTCAGAGTATCTGCTTGTGGTGAGCGTGAAGCACGCACCTGGCATGCGTCACTACGACCACACGCCAGTAGCATCACCCTTAGCAGCAGCAGCCGTGTCTAAGCCGCGCAGTAACCGTGCCAGCAAGTCCGCCGCCAAGGAGGTGCTGGCCAACATTGCCGCGGAAGAGGACGGTCGCTTTGGCAACGACGAAGAAGACGACGATTTTGACGACGGGTACGGTCCGGGTTTGAGTACCAGCGCGAAGTGGTTGAATCAGTCACGTCTCTCGTTGACGCTGCTGCGCCAGTTCTGCGACCTGTACGAGCGACGTCGTTTGCAGCAGCAACAGGAAGAGGCAGCGGCTGCTCGTCTTGAGGAGCAACGGCAACGACAGGCCGCCGTGGAGGCAGCTCAGCGTCGAGAGCGTGAGCAGGAACTGATTCGTCAGAGTCAAGTCCGTCTGCAGGAAAAACTACGTCTGCAGGAGCAGCAACGGCAGTTGGCCCTGCGCAAACAGCAGCAAGCTGAGCTGCAGCGCAAGCAGCAGCAAATGAGAGCGGCTAAGAAAGCACAGGACTCGGCGCGTCTGCTCCTCGCCAAGAATGCACAGCTAGCTGGTATGTAGTGTGTGTGTGTGTGTGTGTGTGTGTGTGTGTGTGTGTGTGTGTGTGTGTGTGTGTGTGTGTGTGTGTGTGTGTGTGTGTGTGTGTGTGTGTGTGTGTGTGTGTGTGTGTGTGTGTGTGTGTGTGTGTGTGTGTCAACGTTGGGGGAGGAGGGCTGTGTGTGGATGGGTGGGTGGGTGGGTGTGCGTGCGTGCGTGTGTGGGTATGTGCGTGCATGTGTGTTTGTTGGTGTGCGTTAGTGTGCGTGTGTGTGGGTGCACTAGCGGGTGTACCATAATGTTGCACATGTACACACATGTATGTACCGGCGATGTCCTGTTATTGCCGACATCGGTATGTCATACCGGCGATGCCCTGTTATTGCCGACATCGGTATGTCATACCGGCGACGCCCTGTTATTGCCGACATCGGTATGTCATACCGGCGATGCCCTGTTATTGCCGACATCGGTATGTCATACCGGCGATGCCCTGTTATTGCCGACATCGGTATGTCATACCGGCGATACCCTGTTATTGCCGACATCGGTATGTCATACCGGCAATGTCCTGTTATTGCCGACATCGGTATGTCATACCGGCGATGCCCTGTTATTGCCGACATCGGTATGCCATACCGGCGATGCCCTGTTATTGCCGACATCGGTATGTCATACCGGCCCGTATTAACACCCACTACCCGTGTACGCGACCAGGTACTGCATGTCCCGAGTCTTGTTCCGCTTTCTAGCCCGCCTGCGTGTGAACACCCATGGGCGAGAGCACAGGCTCAGCACACTGTGCAGTGCACGTGTAACAACCTCGCTGCATGCCGTCAGTCTCCCTCACTAACCCTGGCATGTATACGCATGCGCAGACATTCGTTTTCCCGTTTGTTCTAAATACACAACATTAACAGTTAGATGTTGTTGCCCTCTCCCCTAGAGTTTTAATTTGTCAGGCCCCAGAGTGGTATGTCAACTGATACATCTGTCTCCACTTGAACGGATAGGACCTCTGCCACCTTGGGTGCCTAAACACGCGCAGCTCCATTACATGAGAAAGAAGTCTTCATTTCGACTTCGAATCTCCTGTGTCTTCGGCACCAGGCGGTGCTGGATTTGCTTATGACAAGCTTGACCGTTCAGGCCTGGTATATGGCGCTGAGATTCATGTTCCGCTGCATTGTATTGTATTTCTGATGATCGGAGCTTGAAAATCGGTTATGGAAACACACAATTTCAAACCTTGAACAAATTGTCATGTTGCGTGGTGATGTCTGCGGCATTCATACTTTTCATAGGTATTGTATTTTATTATTATTAGATGTTTACATTGCATGTCAAATGGGGACAATCATGGCCAGTGTTGTGACGAGAAAAAAGGAGAAAAAGAGGAAAGAGAAGATAACTGTCACACGGGGCCGTCCGGGGTTACCGATTGTTTTTACAAAACGAAAAGTTTTAGTATTTTTCAGCCCCCACCCACCCACCCACCTTTACTGCAGGTAAAACGAATTCCAATAAAATATTGATGTCAATTTTCGACACCCATAAGTAACTGGGCATTCTCCATCAGCATTCAATAATTATTTTCAAAACGAAACTCCATCAAACCCACCCACCCACAAACGAAAACATTTCGTTTTGAAAATATTATTGGTAACCTTGGAAATGAAGGGGAATGAAGAAAACAGTCAGCCTAGAGTTCTCTTCTGATAAGGACCATGCTAGTATTAGCCATGAAAGTAAACTTTCAATGGACGCTTGAATTGAGCTATAGTGGGACAGGAAGAAGTGTGCTCCCCCCCCCCCTCCCTTTTCATTCAGAGCAGCCATTTCTACCTGCCGCCACCACCACCACCACCACCACCACCACCACCACCACCACCACCACCACCACCACCACCGTGAAGCTCACTGTTTTCATTCTCTTCCACAATCCCATGCCCAGGACTAACTACCCCGCTACCATCTGCGTCGTCATCGGCAACGATAGCCATGACATCATTGGTTACGTCATCATCATCATCATCACCACCAGTGCCTGTGAACACCATTAGCAGTAGTAGCAGCAGTAGTGGCAGTATGGGTATACCGATGGCTAGTCCCATACAGACATCATCAGCACAGCGTATGTACCTGTTACAAGTCGCAGGACAGCCACAGCCTATGCTGGCTTACCTGCCAGAGAATGCTACCAGAGCAGCTATCCAAGTGCCCGGACGCTCGGTAAGGCCCGCGATGCCTGGTTTGCTTGCTCTGTGTGGGTGTCGGTGTGTACATGTGTGTGTGTGTGGGGGGGGGGGGGGGGGTGTTTGTGTGTGTGTGCGTGTGTTTGTGTGGGTGGGTGTGTGTGTGAGGATATAGTTATGCTGCTAGTGTTGGCCTGCACACGTATGTGTGGACTCACAGTAGTATGTTGGATTGGCAGATGCTGTAGAATGCTGCCAGGCGTATAGCAACTTGTACTGGAGACTGACATCTCCGCATCCTAGGCTGAGAACTGCACCACCACTAGTTTAGCACACAGCTAGCTCCACACAGTTCAACACAGCTGCTGGTGACGGGCAGCTCACAGCCTTTGTAGAATTGCTGCTCTAGAATGCAGCAAAGCGTAGCAGCGACTTGTACCGGGTCAGGCTGCTACCCTGCACAGCGTAGCACACAGTTCTCTGCATGCAAGTAGTGGCACAGCATGGCACACACAAAGTTAGCTGGGTGCAGTGAGAGGCGTGACACTTTTACCTCACACCGTGTGGTGCTAATGTCGACACTGACCTTCGTTAGACCCACAACTGCCGCAATAAGTGCCTATCTTCTGCTTCTTGCTTTTCAAACCTGCAGTCGCCTCCTCGTAGTTACAGTCTGTGCTGCTGTTTTCTACAGCATTGTTATCTTCTCATTGAGCGTGCTTGCTTCCTTTTGTGGCGTGCGTGCGCGCTCGCGTATGTGTGTATGTGTGTATGTGGTGTCTTTGCTGGCTGCCTGTCACCGCAACCACCAGTCACCAACCATAGTGGACATACCCAGCTCAGTGGCAGCAGGCGCGGCGGCTGTGGCAGCCGCTGCAGGAGCACTACACTCGCCAGTATTGCCTGCACACCTGCCAACGTCGTCACCAGCAGCACCACCGCCACCAGCACCAGTGCCCGCACCACCAGCTGCTGCGGCAGCGGTTGCATCACCAGTGAAGTCTCGTTCTGGCAGTGACAGTCGTCGCGGCCAGCAGCAACAACTCAAACTGACTGAGGACTTTGCCAAGAACCTGTTACAACAGCAGATTACTCGCCTTCGCGAACAGCAGCAGCGTAACGAAGACGAAGCCAAGAGCATCACCGCTCTGGAGTTGCAGCAGTTGCAGACGCCTCTGAGCAGAGAGCAGCTACACGCGCATGGACAGCGCGTGCATGCTCACAAGCAACGCCTTGTTTCCACCGCTCAGCAGCAGCAGCGCTTGCTGGACCTGCAACAATTCCTCTCCACTCAGTTCCAACAGACCAGCGTTGGGTTAAGTGAAGCTTTAAACGTGCCCGTAACATCGCCATCTTCCTCTGCACTGCCGCTAGCTGTTGGCGAGCCGCAGAAGGTTACTGGAGCGATGGCTGCAGCTGGTACCGGTGTGACATCAGTCTCTGCGTGTAGTACCGTTACTACAACGTCCACAGCACGCTCCACTCCATCCACCGGCTTGACTACATCTGACTCCAGTACTCGACAGCAACCAGTTGCTGCATCCGCCACCGCTGGTGCTGCTAGTGGTGGTGGTGGTGGTCGCTCTCGTCAATCATCTCGTGCAGATCGCTCGGCTC